TTTTTTCCCCCCCCCCCCCCAGTTTTTTGTGTAATTGACCTCTCTATCCCAATTCCTTTCACAAAGGTAACACAGCAAAAAAGCTTGGGGAAAAGCACACAACTTTCCAGACCTCTCTTATTTTAAAATACAACATGCTATGCACTGTTAAACATTTTCCTTTTCTATTTAATATGTCTTAGAGATCATTCCATATTACTGTGTTTCGTCCTGCTGAACCTGCCGCTGTGAATTGTCCCAAAAGCAGTAGCAGGGGAGTTCCCGCAAGAGAATGCTCCAAACTGCCCTGAGATGGGGCCGGTTGAGATTCCAAAGAAAGAAGCACTAAACGCCAGGGTGATCAGTCCAAAGCATTTATTAGGGGAACTTACGTACAGAGTGGACTGCATAGTCCTTATGATGGACAGTGAGAGAAAAGGGATGTTATACTGAGGTATGTCTGCAGTGAGGGGGTCATGGTATGGAGTTTACATAAGGGTTTAAGGGATTCAGCTCAGGGCTTGGGCCATATCTTTCAGTATTGTGGTCAACAACCTAGAAACCTGTCTCAGTACCTGGGAATGTTCAAAGACCTGGTTTTGTTTCAAGCCTGCTGGGAGGAACCTGTAGCTGGCTGGGTCACAGAGGGGTCAAGGCTCTCTGTGATTTTCCATCTGGACACAGAAAGAAAGCGGGGGATCTGGGGAACCCCACATACTGCATTGCAGCATTACCTCATTCTTTCCAACAGTTGCATAATACTCTGTAGTATGGATGTGCTATACTTTATTTAACCAGTCCTCCCTCTATTGATAGCTGGTTAACAATGCTGCTGTGCACATCCTTTTGTGCACATCCCTGTGCTCGTCTATAGTTCTGTTGAAGAGGTGCCCACAGGCTGATGTCTCTGTATATGCTACATTTGCTTTGAAACCCTCCCTGGGCATGTCTTCCTTTCTCTGCTTCAATGTAATTAAATGATGCCAGTATAAAGTTTTCTGAACAATATATTTAATTTATTTGAGTAGACAAAGAAATCCAATAAGATGACAACTCGTATACCATCACCCATACCTTACAAATCCTATATTTGCATCTATTTCAGTGTCTGGCACATGGGTGACACTTGAAACTAACTAGACACAGGTATAAAATACAAGTGTTCATAATCCAAAGTTCCTAAAGTTAGAAATCAGGTCTTAAATTGGTTAATGAATCAAGATTTCATCTGATCCCAAGTTTTGTATCTCATATCTAGAAGCTAGGAAATATTTCATTAAGTTTCTTCGTTGGGGAGAGTTGCAAGATGAATGAAAATTCTTCTTACTGTACTATTAAAGTCTTCTCAAGGAACTCCATGAAATGAAGTGAGAAAGAAAATGTAAGGCTAAAGACCAAACAGTAACTGGAAAGATTAAAGCAGAAAGTTATAAGCACATTTGCATTTACAGAATTCTAGTAAATGCACTTTAATGTAGAAATGTATACCAAATATACCCCCACCCCCTGCCCATTCTTTGCAGATTACATCCTTGGTGGGCAGCCGAATAGGCACAGGAGCACATCTTCACTCCAGGGAGAGGGGAATGTGGCAATCCTGTCCCTGAAGGTTCAGAAGTGACATGACCCAGTCAAGTACCACTGGGCCTTGGAAATGAGCAGATGTAGGGGAAGGTGAAAGTGAGGCTGACTCCACACACCACTGCATACGACGGGGTAGGAAACAAACAGGATAGTCAGGAGTGGATGATTTCTTGGGTAAAAGGAATAGAGGAAGTATGAATGAATTTGTGAATTTGTTGAAAGAAAATGAAGCCTTTGAATTTCCACATGAATGTTGAAATGTCATTCTTTAATTTCATAACAAAGGATCAGGCTTAGTTAATCATATAACTAACATTTATGCCTATAAATACTCCCAGGCTAACAGATGACTCTTCAGTCAAACAAATATTCATTGAAGGCCAGGCCCTGTGCTTGGCACTGGGGATATAACTGAACACAAACAGCTGTGATTGCCACGGGAGTTCACTTTTCATAAGCGTACCATAAACAAGCCACCAATTGCAGAGCTTTCCCCCTGACACCCTGCTTGGGATGCTAGCCTGCCCCCAATCCCCAACCCCCAACCCCACTGCCTCAGTAACCTGGTAGTAACAGTTCTGTACTAATTGAACATGGCTAGAAAATTGCCTTTCACAACAATTTTTCTTCTTGTTTTCTTTCAAACAGAAAGGATTTCTATCTTAACATTTACATTCCAGCCAACCTCTGGGCACCCTCGTGAGTGAGACTTTCCGGCAGCAGGTGAGGGGGAATGGGCAGAGCACTCCGCAGGAGCCCTCGGCACAGGCCTGGCCAAACACCAGCCTTTACTAAGTTAAGCAGCTATAGTTTAGGACCAGACAAGAACCCCACCTTTTAAATAGCAAAAAATCCCTGGATGCTAGCAACTATGCTAATAAAAATTTTTTTTTAAAAAGATTATACAATCCCAAGTTTGTGAATGTAAAAAAAAAAAAAAAAAAAAAAACCCCAAAGAGTTAAAGGAAAGTCCCAGGAAAAAGACAACAAAAATTCATTTTGGTTTGCAAACAGTAGTCTGGTAACTTTGGGAGCCATGCTGACTTTCACAGAACATGCCTGATTTTTGTTGAAGGCAACCTAAAATGAAAGAGAATGTTTTAATTTTCTTCATTTGAGGGAGGGGAGGGAAAGTGAAATACTGAAGACAGACACTTGTTTTAACAGTTTTTTTTTTTTTTTTTTTTTTGTCTTTTGTCTTTTTCCGTGTCCGGCAACGGATCGCAACCCTCAGTGTTGCCCCCGTACTGGACCGGGGACCGGCAACGGGATCGCAACCCTCGGTGTTGCTCCTGCGCCTCGCTCAGCCAGTGAGCGGGAACCGGTCTGTATGTGGGATCCGAACCCTCGGGCGGGAGCGCCGCCGCGCTTCCCAAGCGGCGCACTATCCAGTGCGCCACCGGGCCGGCCCTTTAACAGTTTTCCTTATGGAACTAACCAATTGCTATTAATGCCACTATAAGAGCTGGGCATCACTGGCATTTTAAGGCAGAAATGCTTTTTGATTATGTTATAAAGCTGGTTTGCTTAAGACTAGACCAGTGACTTCAGGTGTATTTGGCTACAGAAAGCTGCCAGGGAGTTGATGTTCAATTACTCCGCAGATGTGAGAACCATTAACTAGAGAAAGAGCACAAAGCTCAGTGTCCTTTCCTTGAAATAATAAGGACATAAGGAAACCTTAGATTAGACTGTTGTGTATTCATTATGGCCTCACATAAGAGAACAGACATAAAAGAGATGAGGCTATTCTGTCTTTACTTAACATCATATGCCTAAACTCACCTCAGGCCCTCCTTTCAGGTGTCTGTCTCCCAGGTTCCTTTGAATCCGGTTTTTGAAGCTGTAGATGGAGGCTGTCTAGCTTCTGCATATCTTCTGTAAGACTGTTTCTAAGATCCTCATTGTTTCTCAGAAATTCTTTCACCGCTTCCAGTCGATTTGAGAGCTACAAGAGGAAACCATACAATGGACAGCTTAGATAATTGTATAGCAGGTTTGTAATTCAAATGAAAAACTTACTAATTCCAAGATTGGTTCCTGCTCATGTGTCCACCAAGAGACAGAAATCTTGGCTACAGGCATCTGTCCACAGACAGGTTAAGGTTTGAAAAACAAAAGTAAACCCTTTAAAACAGAGCATCCTCCACTCAAACACAACACAATCCAGGATAGCTGGTTCTGGGACCACACAATGGGGTGTTTGCTTGTCTCCTCAAATTTTTTTGCTTTAAAACTTGTATGAAAGGGCTTCATTTTATATACACACACAAAAGCATATACATACATACATACGTATATGTATATATATAAAAATAAAGACCTTTTATTTTGAATTTTGTACCTATACATCTATTACTATTAAATATGAGGCAACCTTGTTCTCCTGAGTGCTCTCCTGACCCGCCCTGATGCCCAGCTGTGTCCTGCCCTGATGCCCAGCTGTGTCCTGCCCTGCTGTAACGGCTAAATGACCCGGAACTTTTCCCACCTAAATGGAAGTTATAACCATATAAGGTCACCCCTTTACCCCAATGTAAAAAACCGGAAGTATTACAATATAAAAGAGGCAGCCCTGCTGCATTTGGGGCTCAGCCTTTGTGACACAGGTCCACTGAGCAGGTGCCGGCATCAATAAACTCTGTTTCCGGGCAGAGCCCGTGGCGCACTCGGGAGAGTGCGCAGCAGCGCTCCCGCCGCGGGTTCAGATCCTATATAGGGATGGCCGGTGTGCTCACAGCACTCACTGGCTGAGCGGTGCGGCCGGTCTCAAAAAGGACCAAAAAAAACCCAAAAAAACTATTTCCTGCTATAAGCCTCAGTGTCCTGCCTCTCCTTGAGAGTTCACTGTAACACACTGTAACAAATATACATATACAAACACATATATGGATAATACTTATAAACATATATACTCATATGTATGCATGTGGATATATATATAATAGTAATAAATGTATAGGCACAAAATTCAAAATCAGTACAAGGATACAAGTTAAAAAGTCTCTCTTCTTCTAAATCCTGTCACCAGTCACCCAGCTCCTCTCCCTAGAGATGACTATAATGAACAATTTCTTGTGTTTCTTCCAAAAGCATTGTACGCATTTACGTGAGTACATGTGTACATACGTTTTAAAAAATGCAAATGGCTGCATACCAGACACTGTTCTCCAACTGATCTCTTCTATATGAGATTATAAAGAATGGCCTCATTATTTTTTTAATAGCTGAGTAGTATTCCAATTATGAATGCTTCATATTTTAACGTATTATCTTGAACCTTCTGCTAAGACAAATAATCCTGCAGTAAATAACCTGGTACATGTGTTATTTTGCATAAATGAGAAATCTATTTGTAGGATCTGTTTTTAGAAGTGGAATGCCATTTTAATTGATTGAGTTTTGTTTTAATTTTTATAGATTTTGCCAAAACTGCCAACTGTAGAGGTTGTGCCAATTTAAACTCCCACCAGTAATGTACTTCTCGACAGTGAAGCTGATAAAAGTACTCACAGAATAGTACTGTGGAAGTGTTTTTACTGGTCTTATCACAGAATACCCTCACTGGTCACTGCGCTTGTTACAAAGATGAGAGTTTTGGGGTGTGGTGAATGTTTTTACATGGGGGACCTGCAACTCCAAACTAAGTCAAGATAATCTAAATGTAATGAAGAAAAGTGATGGAAAACTTCCACTCCTAGCGGAGTCAGAGTTCTAAACATTAGAGAGCATGCATAACTGACTCGGAGGAAGTAGGTCTTGGGTGGAACCTTCACAAGCACTCAGGTCATTGTGATGAAATAGCCAGATGCTGGGTGAGGGCCTCCAGGGATGGAAGGGAGAAGGAAGACTGGCTAAGTCTGAGGCCAGGGTGAATAGGGAGCAGGGAGGGACAGGGAGGAGCTGAAGATGACAGAGGACTTCAGATTGGTTAGACTGGGGATGTGCCCTTCAGGTGGAGCTGTTTATTACATGACTGGAAACCAGCCTAGAGTTCCTGCAAGACACCTGGGCTTTGAATAATAAGTCTGGAAACCACAAAAATGTGAAATGGAGATCACACCAATGACATTATTCATAGCCTGTGTTAATAACTGTGGGAATTGCACCATTAGCTCTTATTGACTGTGCCTGGTACCCTAGACACACCTAGGGTCTTCTCACGCCTCCCGTCAGATGCTCGGGACCTGTGACTGCGCTGGCCAGGTCTGTGCACCACACACACGCCCCCAGATGGACTCCTTGCCCTCAGTGGGATCCTCTTTTCCCCTGTTCAGAGACCTTTGCACTTGATAACCTCAGAGCTGTGAACTTTGTGTTGTCACCTCCTGACCCTCTCTGCAGACCCTCTGAACTGGTTTGCTCTGTTCCACTTTGTTTCTTTCCCTTTGCTCAAGGCTTCATGTGGAAACCCCTGCTCCTCTTCCACCATCTGCTACAGTTCCCTTTTCCATTGCAAATCACCTTTCTCATTTTTTCCAATAGGAGTGCCTTATAACTGACATTTCTTGGAACTTCACTTTTCCACTTTGTGAAAAGCAATAAATGTATTTGCTCTTGAAATGTACTTAAGAAGTGTCCATGGCTGGGGAGATCATTTTAGCATGGGGAGAGCAGGGGCAGAGTCAAAAGGAGGCTTTCTTTTCTAGTTATTAAGAATGGGGAAGGTTTGTGTGCATTTATATGTAAAGGGAGAAGAGGAAGTAGAGAAGGAAAAACTAAAAGTACTAGAAAAATGATGGAATACAGTCAGACAGACTTGGACACTGAAGCCCAGCTTTGTCACTTAACTAGCTGTGTGACTTTGGGCAGGACATCTGACCTCTCCAAGCTTACTTCTATGTTTGCAAATTAAGGATGATGATGCTACCACCACTGAGGAGTCTGGTGAGGATTAGAAATAATCTACTAAAAGCGCTTAGCATTGTGTCTGAAACACTCCTTCCTTCTTATATCCATTTAATAAATGTTTAATTTATTGAGTCAGTCTACTGTGTGCCAGTCTACTGTTCTTGGCAAAAGATGCTTAGCAATTCTTCCAGTCACTTAAGCCAAACTCTTGGCCTTGTCTTTGACCTTCCTCTTTCCCATGCCACATCCGCCCGCCTTCTCACTACCTTTACACTTCCACCCTGCTCCGAACCACCAGCATCTCTTACTTGGATAACTGCAGCAGCCTCCTACCAGGTCTCCTTGCTTCTACCTCTTCCCCTGCCCTCCACCACTCCAGGGCATCCTCGACACTGCAGTGAAGAGCCTTTTGTCATTTCTGCTTGGAATTTTGCTAGACTCCCATCTCAGGAGGAACAGCCTAGGCCCTTCCAATGGCTCACAAAGACCCATATGATCTGCTTCCTCCCCTTTCACTTCTCTGACCTCCTCACCCACTCTCCTCTCCCTCCCTCCACTCCAGCAGCTGCTCAACTTGCTACTCCCTCACCCAAATGCTCTTCCTCCAGATATGCGCATGGCTGATCCTCCCTTCCTTCAAAGTATTGCTAAGTCTCGCCTTCTCAATGAGCCCACCCTGACCACCCTATTGCAACCTGACACTTGTCCTCACTCTGCCACTCCTGATCCCCCATACTCTGTTCTACACTGTATTTCTCCTTCTTCTACCGCTCCACATCATTTACTCATTATGTTTACTGTTTATTGTCTGCCTCCCCCATGGGGATCTTTGTTTTGTTCACTGACACATACGAAGCTTCTAGAACCTGGCACATAGTAGGTGCTCAATAAATATTTCTGGACTATAACAAATGAAGAGTTGTTTTCTATCCTTTCCCCAATGGCCTTGAGTATACTCTGTCACTGCCCCTTCTCCCTGAGCTTCCCCATGGATCTCTGTGAGGGTGGCTCCCTCACCAGGGTTTAAGAAACAATGATAAAGTGTGTGCAAATCCCTTACATGTTTTTACCCATTTATTGTGCTCAATGTTCTCTAGCTGAATTTGTAAACTCCCAGATCATAACAGAGCACTGAGGGCTGGCCAGACTATGTGAGGAGCACTTGGGTGAAAGCCGAATTCTGGGGCAGGTGGGCCCATAACGGGCCTGAGAAGCCGCTGCTCCCATTCAGCTCCAAAGCAGAAAGCATCTCACAGTCACAGCTATACATGCACAGTGTATTTTACTGTGAGCCCCTTTTAATAATGTATACATATGCCATTATGGTTGGTCACTAACAGAAAAGGATGACGATGCTCAGCTCTCCATGATGCATTTTTCTCAACTTGGCTTTCCAACCGAACCTTTACTGTTTTGACTGTTTTAGAAAAAGGTTTTATTAAACATTCACCAAAAAAAGTCCTGTGGTCATAATACAATCAATGTATTTCTTGATTCCTGGATGTATGTCTTTTCATATTCTAGTATCTCAAATGAGAAGGCACCTTAACATTGATAGCATCTTACAATAAACGGTATTTTTTTTCTTTCTTAGGAGTAACTGAAATAATGCTGTGTCTTACAATTGATGGCATTTTAGATTCACCAAAGTCTGGTCTTACCAATACTCTGACTTCGGAGACTAACTCTAAAGAACATGGGCAATCATATGTGGTACTGAGCTTTCAGAAGGGGTCAAATTCCACACACGTGGAAAGCCAACCTTCAACTTCTTAGAGACAACATGTTAATCAATCTTAACTTACATTTTGATCAGTTGAAATATTAAGAGAGGGGCTGGCCGGTTAGTTCAGTTGGTTAGAGCACAGACTTATAATACCAAGGTCATGGGTTTGGATCCCTGTACCAGCCAGCCACCAAAAAAGAAAAAAAAAAAAAAAATTGACATATTAAGAGAAATGTCATGGTCTGCTAAACAGAAAGAATGAAAAATGAGAATTTACCATCTCTACCTAGAGACTTTGTGACCCAGAGGACAAGCCAATTAACCCCAATTTCCTCTCTGTAAAACAGAGATAATAGGGGTTTGAAATTTACAGCCACCTCCTCAGTGATACAAGAGCCGCAGCATGGCATGTAGAAAGTCACAGGACCAGAAGGGGGAGACCTCCTGGCCAGCCTTCACACCCAGTGCCAGCTCCCTGGGGCCCTTGCCACGTTTGCAGGGAATGTGATAAGATGACTGCCAGCTTCCCTTCCAGCTCTCAACTGACATAGCGTGTTGCTGACGTACTTTGTTCTCTGTTACACAAACAGGAAAAGAACTGCAGTGCCCTCAAGAGAGAAGAGAGAGCTACTGACAACACAGGGGCAGTGAGCCTGGGCTCCCGGTTGTCTTCTCTTGCTCTACTCTGCTTCTGAAAGCAGGAGCAGAAAGAAAAAATATAATAAAGCCAGATGAAACATGTGGATTTAGAAAACATAAGATTCAACATTCTTACTCATCATTTAAGATACCTATGGTGTGCCAAGGCAGGCACACCCCAAAACCAGTGGTACCCAGTCCTTGTGCTAAAGGAGCTCACCAAGATGAATAAAGCATCTGGATCAAAGTTAGAACTGTTAATTTAGGCATATTTACCAGTCAGATGCATAGCTTAATGAATGAAATACATGTTTTGTATTAAATAAACACTCCCCCCATGTTTAATGAGGTAACTAGCAAAACTACTTTCGTTGGACAAGGAAGAATGGAGAGGTGAAATGATTAGTCCAATATCTCCTGGTGATCTAGCATTCTAATCTAGTCACTGTTGGAATATTTCTGAACTGTACTAGAATACAAGTCTACTACTGTTAGTTTCTTTTACCTCGCATGGACAAACAACATTCATTCCTCCTGTACTCCCTATGAGAATTTAGATCACCATTAGCCTGCAGGTCCTAAACCAGAAATCTTGATGATCCTGTAATGTCCCCCTCTTCTCCACCCTTTTCCAGCCCTATGCCATGCCCCAAGTAATCAAACTGGCCACTAAAATCCATCAGCTTTGCCCGAGCAATGCCAACAGAATTCACCTCCTCCTCCACAGCTTCTAGTTTCTGTCCTTTTCCTCTTACCCTCACATGATTGCAAGAGCCTTCTGGCTAGTCTCTAGCCACTCATCCAACTTCCATCTGCCACAAGAGTTAACTTTCTAAAAGCTATATCTGATCCTATCACTCTTGTTTAAAAACATCTGCTGGCTCCCTACAGCTTTTTGGGAATAAGGCCCAAACCCCTTGGTGTGGCACAGAAAACCTTTCAAAATATGGTTTCAACCTAGTTTACCATCCTCATGTCTGACCGTACCACCTATGTTCACCTTGTCATTGCCCAGGCCCAAACTATTCTTTCATGCCTTTGCAGGTGCTGTTCCCTCTGCCATGAATATCTTTCTTCCTGTGCCAATTTGCCGAACTCTTCTTTGATCCTGTGAGTCCCTGCTCAACAGCACCTTCTTGTCAAAGCCTTTTCTGGCAATCCTTCTTGACCAGCAGAGAACATCCGGAGCATCTTTTTTTCAGAATTCCGTTGTAGCCCTTACCAAGTTGTTCCACTTCGGGGCACAGATTAGGCACTCAAATTAAGTGAAAATACATGTTAAAAGGTAATATTTTTCTGTACCTAAAGATTATTCACGTCTGGAAATTATTTGACATTAAATCAGAAACATAATTGGCTGTATGTTAAAATGAGCTACTGTTCCTCCTGGCACCTTTCTTCGTTTTGTTTACTCACACAAAGAATATAATACTTTTCCTTTACCTCTTCAGGCAACACGTCTTGTTCTTCTGCTTGAAGATACATTTCTTGAAGTTTTTCCTTCAGTAATGCCATTTCTATTTCATTGACTTGGCTCTCACTCAGGTAAATTCCCACTGGACATTCACACCCATCTCGCTGATCTTCCTCAGGGATGTGAACAGCCCAGTCAGATGTCAACAGCTGTGGATTACCACACAAATATATGAACTGATTTAATGGAAAAGATATTCCATTGGATTATTCCAAGAATTTACAACTGAACATCACTAACTGGATCCATTTTAATAATACACTGTGACTACAGAAAAGCTTCTCAGCCCAGCATAATTCCAGATTTCATATCAGCATTCTTTCCCCTGCTTACATTCTAAAATTTAGTTTAAGTGTAATTCATTCTAAGACTAGTTAAATCTAATTCTTCAAATTCTAAATGAGTGACTGGTTGCTTTTTTTCCCTTAGTCCTTTATGACAAAACTGTTAAATATGATTTTTACCTGTTCTATTCTGGAGTAGGCTGCCACAATCTCTGGGATATTCTTGAATTCATTCAGAAAATTTCGAATCTTCATCTGAAAATTTCGAAGCCAGGAAGAAGATACTGTCATCTCTGAAGAGTGCATGATCTCATTACGACACTTAATTACCTACAGAAACACAAAAAAGATAAAAGCCTTCAAAATCAAACAATGGAGTAAACTGAGATCTTCCGGTTCCAAAGAAAAATCATAGAAAGGCTTTGTTAATTACAAAATCAACAAGTGTGGTCTCTAGATGAGAAGGGCCAGAACTTTCTTGGGATCATGTGCATAATCTGACATGTACTTGTATGGAGGTAGAGGATACTCCAGCCCTCCAGCTCCCAAATCAGATCCATATTTAATTTCATCCTTTCCAGAAGGCATATACTAAGAAGTGAAATCCTGTTGAGTCACAAACTGAAATGACTTCAACAGTCAGGCATGTAACCTGAGTCAAGGTGGTAATGTGTAATAGCAGGGAGAGAAGGAGAGATGGGATTGGCACAAACTGGAGAGTGGATGCCCTATCTAAAGGGGCAGCCTCTACTCAATTCATGACTTGTTGCCATGGAAGCAATATGAGCCCAGTGCTGCCAGATCTTCTGATTTTTCAAGAGAAATTGGAAATTTGGATTTTTTTGTGTGACAACTAATTCAAAGATTTTAAAAAATATCAGGCAGGACAAATAAAACATGACTCTAAGCCAGGTTTTGACCATAAGACTCCAGGAACAAAAAAATGAAACCTGGGCAACAGTGGTTCAGCCTTTTCCTCTTTCCTAAGCCTCTGGAACAGATTTCCAAACAATCCACAAGTTCCTGACTTAAACTGTAGGTACCTGTAGGTGCTGTCAAGGCTTGAAGGGGAAGTTCAACTCCCTGCCACTTGAATAATAAATTAATAGGGGCAAGAAATACAAACTATCCTTAGCCCTTGAAATCTGTGACAGGCTAGATAGTACACATTCCCCCAAATCACTTAACATAAAACAATCTGCCAAAGAGCAAGTATATTGGCTCTGGGTATACCCACAGGCTGAAGCAGAAAATACAAAAATCTTTTAAATATTGTTGGAGCACCAGGGAGTTGAGTCAAGGTAGTTTTCTGATGTGAAAACTATGATGAAAAGAAAATCAACTTTTACCTATATTTTAAGAAAAATGGTGCGGTGTAATCATATGTTGACATTTAATTCACATAAAGTCTTCCACATATTTGGCTCAAAGACACCAAAGGAGTCAACTACTGTGATAGTTCTTTGTCTCTGCTGATGTCATAAAGGATTCTCAATCCTTTCAGCTGCTGGCATGCTGACAAAATATACATGCATTTTCTCTACATATTATAAATAATCTAGGTGCTGCTATATACTCTTTTCAATGACCCTCAGAGTAATAAATGTGGAAAAGTTGTTTCCTGGTGAACCACAGAAAATCCAGATCTCTAAGAGGAAATCTGACAAGCAAAGTGATCTGTTCTGACATTATTATCCATTAGTGTTTACGTTTTCTTCAGTTCTATGTAATGTGGTCTTGCCACTGTTTAGCCAATGAGATTTAGAAGGGCAGGATTCCAATGCTGACATACAACAGACAGAATGATGCACTGTTCTGTATTTTTTTTAAATAAGGAAAATTACTTTGCTTCTGTTTATGGAAAAACGGGGAAGAGAAATTTAGGGTTCATCTTTTTTAGCAGTGAATAGTGCAATAACAAGTCGTCTGGAAACTTTAATTAGGGACAACTAAGGGGTTAGTCTCTTAATTGCATTTGCACTGGAGTTCTTGGGTATCACAGAGGGTGCACATGATATGAGCCCCACTAGCCTGCTTAGTGATACCAACTTTGAACCAGCATCTGTCTCTGGGGAGCTACTATGCTCTGCTTGCATGGCTGGCTTAGCATCACAGAGTGTGTCTCATGGGTGGCCTTCACAGTATGGAACCGACTGACCCAGTCTATGATTTTGAATCTGACCGCTCTTACCTCTGTGATTTTCTTTCGATCAACCACGAAGTGATCACAGGAGTTCATGAGACTTAAAAGAGCAACTGCATCACATTCCTCAGGTCCTCTTTTGTCTGCCTGTCCTCGAGGCATGAAGGCCTGTAGTACAGGGAAGCACGAGGGGCACCTGAGTCTAACTCTAGGTGCTGAAGAGGCAAAGGCTACTTGCCTATTTCCCAAATGATGACTGAACTTCTCTTATGCACTGAGGTTTCAAGTTAGAGCCTCAGGAGTCCAAAATGCAAGTGAGGAAATAGCGTCACAGCTAAGCCTCTGCCAAGGACATAACTAAAGGGCTGTACTATCTCTTTGCTATTAGATACACCTGACATACACCTGTCATGTCTTAATGGCACATAAGCAGAAAGCATGGGTAGAAGACACCCTTTTTCTTCTCCTTACTGAAATGTCAGCGGCTGAGTTATTAAAGAAGATGATTTAAAAATAATATAGTTACTCCAAAGTGGACACTTTCCAAATGACTTGAGAAAGTTCGGTATGGTCACATTAAGAGTCTGAGCTTTGGAATGCGACAGAGCTGGGTTCAAAGGCCAGCTCTGACCCTTGCCAGCTGTGTGACCTTGGGTAAGTTATTTATCCTCAGATTCTTCATCAGTAAATGGGTGATAACTGTCCTCATCTACCTCGAAGGACGTTGTGAGAATTAAATAAGTGAATGAAGGTAAGGCACTAGCACAGCACCGGGCACATGCTAACAAACAGGCCATAAATGTTGGCAATCATGATGTCGATGGCGCAAGGTAAGTTGGACCCACATAGGAGTTACAGATGGAACCCCAGGATTTAAGATACTAGATATACCAGACAGGCCTCATTCTAGCACAATCTTGCCTTTAGTAGGGTTTTATGACACGGACCCCAAAGATAGTGTTATAGCAAGGCTTAGGCATGTTTCTTTCCTGAAATATTTCCAAACTTACATCTGGATGCAACAACTTTACCAGGCTAAGAATTTCAAGGGTACATTTCTGCCGAGGGACTAGAACAGAAGAAATATAAGAAATTACTCACAATAAGAGCTCTAAATAAAAGAGACCTGTTCCACTGAAAACAAACACATTTCAGTAAGCAAACAACTATACTGTATCCTATGTGCTGCTCCTATGTGCTGCTCCAGAAAGGCTAGTAGTAAGTGCTGACGTACCCCAAGAAGAGTCAGGGCTATGTTCCTGATGGTGGTAGAATCATATCCTGAGTCTCACTTAATTAAGAAGAATTTTATGTACACTGAATGGCCCTTAGCAAAAGGTACAGTAGCCAGTACCATCACTATCTTTCTACGTCTTAACAGCCACCAACATGCCAACCTTCTGAAAGAAGTCTATTATGGATGCTACAAAGGTTAACAAAGAAGCTAGCTTATCGTTGGCAAACTAATGCAATGAAGTGAAAAAAAAGAAACTTTGCTTAATTCAGCTGCTGCTCAGAAGACAATGCAAAGGTAGAGGGGCCTTAATTGCCTCCAAACCAGACATAACTCTTTTCCATTATGAGGTAGGTCCTGTCTGGCATTTTCTTATCAATATAAACTGGTCTCTGCCATGTTACAATTTTATTTTAGTAATTACTCCCTTTCTTCAGAACTAGAGCCAACAGGGAGGCTCTGCTGCCTCCATGCAGTGAAAGCAGTTTCTTAAAATTGTATTGCATCCCACCATGTTCCACATGGTAAACACACAGTGGTGAGAAACATACGTTATTGCCTCCCTCTACTGCCTCTTCTTTGGGTGATGAGGCCAGATCATGCTGGGCCCTACTGCTCTGGAAAGGACTGTGGAGTTTATTCTAAGGCTATCAGAAAGCCATCCAAGGGTTTTAGGCAAGGGGAATGCCTGATTCTCACTTGAAGACTGCACATTCTGCTGGTGGGGAACCAACCAGAGGTGCCCAGAGTGGCAGAGGAGGCTGGGGGGGTGGGGCTGAAGTCAAATCCAGGCAAGACAGGGTGAGAGATGTGATGAGGAGATGGAGAGGAGGATTCCAAGAGTATTTTGCAGGTACAAATAAAGGGGTTGGTGAAAGGGAAAGAGATGAAACGAGAATGATTCTAGGAAGTTGGTGGTGGGGAATTGGCATAGGGTGGGGGGTAGAGATAAAAGGCCCACTTCAGAACTAAATAGGAAATACTCAGGAGGTGATAAAGTAGAGGGGTCAAGGAGCATGTGCCTCAGGAGCTCAGAAGAGAAGGCAGGGCTAGGGTCACGGATTTGGGAGCCATGAGCATAAAGCTAGTATTTAACTCCATGGGCCTGGGCAATATGACCAGAGAAGAGGGAGACAGAAGAGGCTCGGCCCTGAGTCCTGAGGAAGGCCAACCAACATTCAGAAGGAGGCTGAGGAGGAAGAGACAGGGAGGGGAGACAGGAGGAAAGACAGTAGAGAAAGATGCCACGAAGCCAGGAGTGTTTCAAGAAGAGCATCCAGTAGTGCTGAATGCCTGTGAGAGGTAAGAAGGATGAGGCTGGAGAACTGAAGGCCACAGATGCTGTGGAGTGGCAGGGGCAAAATTCGGGGCGGAGTGGCACGAAGAGTAAGCGGGAGCTGAAGAAAAGAGAATAAGTATCAAACGCTCTGTTTAAGAAGCTCTGCTGGGTGTACCTATGAGCAGTGGATAGAGAAATGGGGAGATAGCTAGAGGGAATGGATCAAGAGAGGTTTTTCTTTCTTTTTGAATAAATTTTTGGAAAAGAAAATTTAAGTGTTCTTTAAACAGCTTTATTCAGATATAATTCTCATGCTATACAATTCATCCATCTAAAGTGCACAATTCAATGGTTTTTAGTATATTCAAAGAGTAGGGCAACCATCACCAGTCAATTTTAGAAGATGTTTATCACCCCAAAAAGAAATTCCATACCCATTAGCTATCACCCCATGCCCCCAGGCCCCAGCAACCACTAATCTACTTCTGCCTCTATAGATCTGCCTATTCTGGAAATTTCATATAAATGGAATCATATAATATGTGCCTTTTATAACTGACTTCTTTCACTTAGCATCATCTTTTCAAGATTCACCCATGTTGTAACATGTATCAGTACTTCATTCCTTTTTATGACAAAATAGTATTCCATTGTATGGATATACCACAATTTGGTTATCCATTCATCAGCTGATGGACATTTAGGTTGTTTCCACCTTTTGGCTATTGTAAACAGTGCTGCTTTGAACATTTATGTACAAGTTTTTATGTGGACGTATGTTTTGATTTCTCTTGGGTATATACCTAAGAGTGGAATTGCTGGGTCGTATGATAACTGTTTAATCCTTTCTTTTTTAAAAAATTAAATAAATCAATGTGATATTAAAGCTATTTGCATAGTGATGGGAATAAATTGGGGGGCTGGACAACTTAAAGACTCAAAGTCACTGGGCAGAGGGGAGGGGATCCAACACACAGAGAGTGGAGAGACACGGTGATAAGAGGAGAGACACATTTCCTCTTTTGTAGCAGAAGGAAGAAGATGCACATGGAGAAGGGTTGGTGGGTTTGGCAAAAAGATGAGAAAGTACTGTTTGGAGGCATCCATCAATTCCATGAAGCATGAGCAAGGTGGGACTGAGGGTGGAGGAACAGGAGTGGGAGCTTGGCGAGGAGAGGTATGAAGAGTCGTCTGTGGGAACTGAAGCCTATAGAGAGACATGGCTGGACTGCTGGGGCTCAAGATCAAGAATGAAAGCAAAACCAGTCAGCTCCCTTGTGAGACTATTCCCCCGAGCAGAAGCCGAGGATGGTGGCATCAGAGCTGGAGCTGGGCCAGGCAAGTTCAGAGAAGGGAGAAAAAAGGCTGAGATAACTGCAAGAGACTGACTATAATGATGGACTGTGGAATCTGGGCTGGCTGAGGCGACAAAGGCAGGCAGGAGGGCAGAAGCTGCTGGGTATTGAGAAAGCAGTGGAAGCCCAGAAGGAGAAGTAACACAGAGGGTGGGGGTGCTGGAAGAAGTGTGCCAAGGGTGAGCAGGTTGTTAGACACCAAGACTTCCTGTGCCAACAGGGTCCAGGGTGTGCGCATGCAAGTGGGAGGCTAAGGTGGAGTGGATTAGACGATGCTAAAAAAGGGAGCCCAGGAACTGAGAGGACTGGGTTAGACTAGAAGGTCTGCAGGTGACAGCAACGAAGAGAGGAAAGACTGGCATAAGCAGGTGGCACGGGCTTTAAGAGGATTGTGAGAGTGTGAAAGCAACAAGGGAGACCTGACAGTTGAGGGACAGTCATAGTAAAGGGTAGCATTTTGTTTCTTTAATGTTTTTCTCATTTCTAGGTAAAAGTAGAACTTGGCAACTCTATGGCGGCATTGAAATAAAATGGGGAAGAGAGTTTACTGGCCCATGAAAGCCAAAAGTCTGAGGACCACTGATACAGTCCAAGTACCTTATTTTTGAGGTTAGGGAACAGAGGCTAGCCCAATGTCACACCACAGTAGCTGGCCAGGATTCAGGACACCAGTCTCTTTCTATCCGGCTGCTTGCCCCATCCCCACCTGCCCAAAGTTTTGTTCCTTAGCTGGGCACTTAAGGCCCTTTCTATTTCAGTCCTAACTCCCCTTAGCTTACTCTGCCACCCTCATGGGCTCTATAGCCAAGATGAGCTATTCAGTGGGCCTACCGTTAAACACGCCTTACAAATTTCTCTTTTGATACCTGTGCTCATGACGCTCAATCTACATCTTGCCCCTGCATCTCCTTGTTGAAAACTTTCCAAGCAGCGGTCGCAAACTCAAACGCCTCCAGGAAGCAGACAGGCAGAAGGAGGTTTCTACCTCACTAAGCTGGGTGGGTCCACTGTAACAGCCCTGAACCGCCTAAAGACTTCACCCTAGATCAACCAACCAATCTCTCTGCATCTGTTTATGAGGGCTGACTTCCACACAGACCCGAAAGCCGCCCCGGGCACCAGGTGACCCGCCGCCGCCTCCTTCGTCCTGGCCGCAGGTGCTTACCTTGGCCACCTCCCAGGCGTCGACAGGCCAGCGGCCCGGCCGGCAATTCCCCCAGTGCACGTCTCCATTTCTGTGGATGTGATGTCTCAAAATCTCCCGTTTCCACTCTGCGCACACCTGACACTGAGGCTGAAACTACAGGGGGCGGAGGTGAGGAAGGGCTCGGGAGGGAGGGGCGGCGTCTGGGAATCTGAGTCCCGGGCGTCGCGGTCAGCCCCGCCCCGCGGAGGGAGCGGGAAACTCTGCGCTCCGAGACAGGGACGGTATGGGGTGGGGTGGAGGGCGGTGGTCAAAGCCCCGGGCTAAGTGCTCACCTGGCGGGCGCGCGGGCTGCACAGTGAGCCGCCGCTACAGGCGGCGCCGGGGCCCAGCCAGGGGGCTGCGGCGAGCAGGCCGCGGGGGGCCGGGGGACACTTCCCCGCCGGC